TGTAGAGATAAGTCTTTCAAGTTCTTTTTAAACCTCTTCTGCTCCCTCCCCCAAGCCTTTTACTAACAGACAAAAGGACGTTTTCCAAACAGGAAAGCATGCTTGGATACTGTGTTTGAATATCTTTCCTTTTAATGGTCCTCTATCTGGATCACTCAGCTTGAGAAGGTGGGAATGCCTTTCTGCTGCCATATCAGACTTTTAGCCATCAAATCACCTCAGAACTTCATCAATAGGAAGGTGTTATGGAGGAGACAATACCGTGTCTGAAATGGCCCATCTGCAGACCAAAGCGTGGTCATGTCAGCACGCTGAAAGGGAGAGAATCCATGCTGACTACGACGGCCTCTGTTTACCCAATGCTGACTGCGAACCTTGGGATGAGAGCATCCTTCAGCATTGGCATCCTTCCCACCAGATGAGGCTGATGCTGGGAACACAGAAGTGACCCTGTCTCCTGGCCACCCCAGGCCTCACAATTTCACTCTGCATGTTCAGTCATCTCTTTAGTAGTCTATGTGAACAGGAAAGTTGAAGTAGGCAGTGGGAAAATGCTACGTGGTTGCTCTCTCGGATTTCACCCGTGTTTACTGTGGAAGCTTGGATGTGGAATGTCTCCCCAAGGTGCATGTGCTAAGCATGGTCTCCAGTCTTGGGAACTATCGGCAGGTGATGCAGCCTCTAAAAGGCAGGACTAGTGAGAGGCCTTCTGATCCCTACAGGGGTGTCCCTAAAGGGTTGACGGGAACTTGACCTTTTCTCTCTCTCTCACAACAAAGTCAGTTTTGTTCCACCAGGTATAGCTGCCATGATTTGTTCCCCCATCCCAAACCAGCAGACCCAGCTGATCATACACCAAAACCTCTAATACTGCAAGAAAAAAAAATCAATCCATCTTTTCTCTTTATGAATTGATTATCTCTGGTATTTGTTATAGTCATGGGAAGCTACAAAGTTATACAATGAGCCAGGTGTTTATCTTTTCAACCTTGATAAGAAATTAAGCCAAAGCATCTTTTCTCTATCTACTAAGGAAGGAAGTGTTACCTGCTTGGCAACCCAGGGAAGGGGTTCCCTTGAAAGGGCAAGGAAGCCAGCCTGGGGCCCTCTGATGCCTGACTTTGGAAGCCAAGGACAGCATTGGTCTGTCTCTTAGGAAACCTGAACTTAGCTGGAAGGAATTCTTTGATAATGAAATTAAAGTTTTCCTTTGAATTTTAAGGGGCTTTTCTTAGCTTTTGGCAAAAGCCCATATTACTGTGAAATAGAATGCACATGGAGGAGTGTGCAAAGCATAAACTCACAGTGTAATGACTCCTGTGAAGTAAGTGTCCAGGTGCCCACCATTGAGATGGGGAGCCAGGGCGTCGGGGCATGGCCACTACCATTTAGGGAGCCATGAGTATGTCTGTCGTTATATATAAAATATTTATTTACTTTATATGGATGAGTGCTCTGCCTGTACACATGTACATACACTGTGTGTGTGTGCCTGGTGCCTGTGGAGGTCAGAAGAGGGCATCAGATCTCCCCCAGGAGAGCTGGAGTTATAGACAGTTCTGAGCCACCCTATGGGGGCTGAGACTGGAACTCTCTGCAAGAGCCGCAAGTACTCTTAACCTCTGAGCCATTTATGTAAGTTTGAAGCAGGGTAAATTAAAATGACCTGAACAATGGGGTTTTGAGCACTTATATTATTTTGCCGGTATAACCGGGGCCTTATGTGTCTCAAGCAGCAATGCATAGCCACTTCCCCCTCCAAAGAGACAACCATGTACCTGAAACAAACGCTTTCAAATCCAGTGAAAACAATTTCAGTGAAAAAAGGAGGGTTCCCTGCAAAAGCTGTGCTATAATGATAGACAGACAGACAAACTAATGGTAGATAGGGATGAATGTTTCAGATTTTACAAGCTTCATTAACATCAGAGCTCTTGAGATTGGAGTTATGGACAGTTCTGAGGCACCATATGGGGCTGGGAATGGAACTTGGGTCCTCTGCCAGAGCAGCAAGTACTCTTAACCTCTGAGCCGTCTCATCTACATTAGTCATTCAGTGCAGGACACATCATCACTTTTGAATGGAGGTCTGAGTGCAGTTATCATGATAAGGTAATAAATTAGGGCCCAATTTCAAATAGAAAGCAAAGGCACACGAAAGTTCTCGTTTCTCTAATAATACTTCTGCGGCAGCCTCCTGCTGTCTCGATAGGCACCTTGTTAGCAGATTGTTCATGTCTGTTAACTGAACGCATTTTTGCAGGAATAAACCCAGAAAGTAAACAAATAGACCCTTGCTGTTAGTTTTGATGTTTATGTGTAACTTCGTAATTAATATTCAAAATATGAAGAAAAGTGACCTTATGATTTTAAAAAGAAGGTAGCAGCATAGTACAAACTCAAAAATATAGAGAAGCTTGCCAGGACATCACATTTGTTTCTAGTATTTTTTCCTGCTTTTGTTATTCCCAGGTGATGTGGGGAAAATTCCGTTTGCAGGCAAAATTCAGAAAAGTTATTATATCTATAATAGCAGTTCTCAGCCTGTGGGTCATGACTGTTGTGGAATGTTACTTTAACTAGGCAAAGAAGTGTTACATTTGTTTGTACCATGGACTATTACTTTCACTGTGTAAAGGTGTGTTACATTTGTTTATGCTGCATGTGTTTAATTATGATTGGTCTAATAAAAAGCTGAATGGCCAATGGTTAGGCAGGAAAAGGATAGGCAGGACTGGCAGGCAGAAGGAATAAATAGCATGAGGAATCTAGACAGGAGGGAATGAGGGAGAAAGAGAGGGGGACGCCCCGGGCCAGCCAGGCAGCCGCCAGCCAGCAGACACAGAAATGGACATACAGAAAAAAGGTAAAAAGCCCCGAGGCAAAACGTAGATGAAGAGAAATGGGTTAATTTAAGTTAAAGAAAAAAAGCTAGCCAGAAACAAGCATAAACGAAAGCCGAGCACTCATAACTAATAATGTCTCCATGACATGATTTGGGAGCTGGTTGGTAGTCCAAAAGAAAAAGCCTGTTCCAACTCTTTTGGACATCACATATCAGATATTTGCATTGCGATTCATAACAGTAGCAAAATTACAGTTTATGAAATAGCAACAAAAATAGTTTTATGGTTGGGGGTCACCACAACATGAGGAACTGTATTAAAGGGTCGCAGCATCAGGAAGGTTGAGCACCACTGAGTTATAAGGTCTCTGAAAGACAATTCAGAAGTCAAAGAGATGGGAAAGGATCTGTTGGGGTTCAAAAGAGATGGGAAAGGTTCTGTTGGGGTTCAAAAGAGATGGGAAAGGTTCTGTTGGGGTTCCTCTTTCCTTTGGGTGACTCAGAGCAGAAGGCTCCCTGCAGAGCCCTTCCTTCTACAGAGAGCCACCTAGTGCTTAGAACGATGTACTTGTTTTTCCTCAGCCACAGGTTCAAAGAGTAAATTTCCAAAGTTCCGAACAGATTGGACAAGTCATTATTCATGTTTTTGGGAGGGTGCATTTGCCAGCTGAAGACTCCTCCGGATAGATCTCATTTCAGAGACTGGTCACCCTGTTACTAATGGCATCATCTGCCCAGACACCAGCTACAGAGGAGTCTCCAGTGGAGGAAACACCAGGCAGCTCTGCCCACACTTGCCCTCAGGATCCCGGGGGTCCATGTGAATCAACCCGGCTGTAGCCAAGAGGCGTCTCTGGAGGAAGCTGGCAGAGACTTTCTGGGTACCACAGAAGCATGTTTGATGGGCATTAAGCTAGGTCATCAAGTTAAGATGAAGAACAGGTTGTAGAGCAGCTGTTTGCTCTCCCTTAGATAGGATTTTCATTACTCTGCACACTATACCTTCAGCTATAAATCAGACCTTGGTGATAATTCATTCTACTTTGCAAAGATCCCAGGTGAGAGACACGGGTGCCAGTGATGTTAGGAGGAAAGAGGGAAGGACTGATTAAAAAAGCCCTCCCACTCTTCCGTAAAAGAACACGCACGCCCCTGTCTAGACAGTCTCAAAAATACAAAGCCCTTGAGAGTCGAACTGTGAGAGGAGGTCTGAGATGGCAGCCAGACAGACAGCTGGATCCCAGGTAAATCAAAGGAGCCTGGCCCAGCGAGACGCCATTGGCAAGACAGAAGAGCTGGGAACTCCCATTTGGGGCCCTAGCACCCTGCTTCCTGGCATGAGGACCCACAGAACAACAGCCTAAACTGACTGTCGGCAAGTGAAGCCCTGGGTGTTCCAGGTTGCTTAGGAAAATGAGGGGGTTGACATCTGGGGGGGAACTGGACCAGGTAACCTCCGAGGGGCTCATGATCAGAAGACCTTTGGCGCATCACAACCCTTTACTTGGAATCTTACATGAGTAGAGAGATCTGTCTCAGTAATTCTAGGTAAACCAAGCCTACCTTGGATGCTTAGCATGAATTAATGATAATGTACAGTTTTATAAAGAGAGGAGTTAAGAGGAGGCAGAGAAAACAGGAAGTTTAAGAGATGATGTGGAAAATGTGTGTGTGTGTGTGTGTGTGTGTGTGTGTGTGTGTGTGTGTGTGTGTGTACAATTCTTCTCAGGAGTTAATTTACAAAAGAAATAGTCATGCTCTTTTCTTGAACTCAGGTTGAACCCTGACCCTGGTTAAAGAAGTTCAGTGTGGGGCTGGAGAGATGGCTCAGTGGTTAAGAGCACTTGTTGCTCTTGCAGAGGACCCAGGTTCGGTTCCCAGCACCCACATGGCAGCTCACAACCATCCATGACTCCGGTTCTAGAGGCTCAGATACCCTCTTACAACCTCTGTGGGTACCAGGCATGCATGGGGTGCATACGCATACAGACAGGCAAAACACTCAGACACCACAGAATAAAACAAAATAAAGTAAATCTTTAAAAAGGGGGAAATGTGATGTTGGTGGTGCAGACATTATTTAGGCACTGACTGGAAGACACCACATTGGCTCGCGTAGGAGTCTGGGCTGAGGCTGTTGGGGGTTCTCAGGTACCTGTTTTGGTCAAGGGGATTGAGAACAGTTGCTGGAGAAGTTTGTTCTCAGACGTCCTCAGGACCACAATCACGTCAGCAGGGAGAGTGTCTCTGTTTTTCTCAAGAACCCCAGAAGCATCATATAATACCTGGAAACAGACAGCAGAGTGTGCACGTTAACTAAGGCAACGGACTATGGCAGGTCGTCTGGGTAGTCATTGCCCAGCACTGGATATAAACATCCTGTTATACTTGGCCCTTGGACTATGGAGCACCAGAGGAAAGGGAGAAGTTGTGCTTTTGACAGGTCAGTTTATCTCAGTTTCTTGTCCAGTTATCTTTGAAGAAGAGGGTCCTACTGAAGATACAGCACATCAAAAAGACTGTTAAAATATACAAAGCAATCATCAGATGTGAAACACCCATCCTCATCCTACTGATAGACAAGCAAGAGCTTAGCTAGTGGCTGAATGAGGTAAGTGTTGGGTGGCCATCATACAGGCGGGCTTTTAGCTCATGACCACCCCGCCCTCAGTATCTCTCAAAGTACTCATGGAGGCCGAGTGATCACTCTAAGAGTCTAAGTGGTTCTTGGTTCTCAGCAACAAGGGACTCCAACTTAGAGGTCTTTTAAGGGATATTCTCCAAATCCCTGGAGCGGTGTGGTAGTTTAAGTGAAGATGTCCCACATAGGCTCATATGCTTTCAAGTTTGGTTCCCAGTTTGGTGGACTGTTTAGGAAAGATTAGCAGGTGTGACCTTGTTGGTGTAGATATATCCCTGGGGGGTGGGCTCTGAGGTTTCAAAAGCCCATGCCAGGCCCAGTGTCTGCCTCTGTCTCTCTGTGTCTCTGTCTCTGTGTCTCTGTCTCTCTCTCTGCCACTATGCTTCCTGCTATAATGATCATGGACACACCCTCTAAAACTGTAAAAAAAAAAAAAAAAGCCCCCAATTTAAATGATTTCTTTTAAAAGTTGCCATGGTCATGGTATCTCTTCATAGCAATAGTAACCCTAACTAAAGATAATAAATTCAGCAAAGAATTCACAAAGCAGAGAGAAAAGGATCCTAAAAGGAGAAAAGAGAGAGAGAAGTACAGGTAGAAAAATGTATAGAGGAGGAAAAGATGGAAAGAGCAGACAGGAAGGAGGCAAGCCAGTGAGACCTAGGGGGTGAGGAAGGTAACTTAACTTTCAATTGAGGATATAAATACGGAAGATAATTTGGACACATCACACATCAATAGAATAATCCCAAATACCTTTCAAGGAACCCCATCCATTTTTTGGATCTAGGGCCTCCATAACCTCATAAGCACTGGTCACAATTCAATTTGTTTGTCTGAGGGAACACAGCAGTGGGCTATGGGACTGGACACTTTCCTAAATCAGTCAGCAATCAGCTTCAGGGACTTGAACTGAGACGGGAGCATGATACGTGAGAACTGGGAGTTCCAGCTCACGTGGTAAAGCCACACCTGGGTGAGTGAGATCGTGCCCTTTCACTGGACACACCTAGCGGCCCAAAGACACGTTGAACGTGCTAGAAAAAGCCCACTGTGTTGTCAACCGTCCTTTGTCACCTACACTCCAAATGATGTCAGAATGTGAACATCTACCATGAAACCCTGCAAAGGCTGCCGTATGGTTCCTGTCTAGAGAGCTGTCAGTTCTGGGCCCGCCTTCAGGCAGGAAGCAGGAGGTACTCCATGGGCCACCCCATATCTACAAATGGTACCTACCACTGAGGACACTTGGGAATTGGCATTAGAATCAAAAGGAGAGTGAAGTCTGCAAGCAGTCTGGTGAGCACACTTACAGGGGACACAAGTGTTGGGGAATATTATTTTAAGGTGTGTTACTTTTGTTTATGCTGCATTTGTTTAACTCTGTGATTTATTTGGGATCTGGATGGCGGGCCCCCCAAAAGAGCAGAACCAACCCATGCCTCTTGTCATTCTTGGGTCCCATAACTCCTGCCTCCACTCACCGGTCCAGCATAGTGTTGAATGCCAAAGCAGAGCTCCACGCCTTTGGGCCTCCAGAAGAACTTGCACCGTAGGTTATCTTCAAATTTATCTGTGTGCAGAGAAGAGACTAGAGTGTACAACTCTATTTTTTTTTTTTTTTTTGAGCTGAGGATTGAACCCAGGGCCTTGCACTTGCTAGGCAAGCGTTCTACCACTGAGCTGAATCCCCAACCCTGGAGTGTACATCTCTAAATGGGATCTCTCTCTCTCTCTCTCTCTCTCTCTCTCTCTCTCTCTCTCTCTCTCTCTCTC